GTATATATATACACATGTATATATCAATTATCTATCCGTGCATTCCCCCAAACCACGAAATTAAAAAAAGATAAACAATGTTCACAAAACTGACGCTTTAGTGTTTAATAAAAGAATCACAACTAAATTTTAGATAGATAGCCAAGCTCAGCGGCATTCGGCTATTCACTCACTGCTGTTCGGCATCTTTAAGAATAGCCCGAACAGCAGTGAGAAGCCTGCCGGAGGTTCGGCTCAGCCGATCCAGATGTTGGATCGGCTGAGTCAAACTCCTTCTGCACTTCGGGTCGGCCGAACATGCTGAGCGTGTTCGGCCGACCCGAAGCAAGCCGATGTACGGCTGACTTCAGCCGTACTAGCCTGAAGTGAATAGCCGAACAGTGTTCGGCTCACTTCACTTCAGATCGGTCATTCACTCGGCTGCCCTCGGCAGCTTAGTGAATAGACCCAAATATGTATACATGGTAACTTCCTCAGGCATTTTAAATCGCAATTCTAGTCATATTGTCCGAGGAACACATCCTTGTCTGGTAAAACAAAGTCCAAGCCACTTTAGCTTAATTCATGTATCAAACTGCTCCCTTTGGATTCAGATGAAATGTAGTCACTAGTCTCTCTATGTGCAACACATATCAACATTTGTCTCCAGTCCAGGTTAACAAAAAAAATAGTGGGTTGAATTCTGATATAGTTGTTCCCATATACAATAAAGATAGAGGGGTCTAGTTGCTAACACATTTTGCCATATTCCCGCTACCCTTACCTCACTGGATTATCAGCACTTATTATGAAAACATATCTGGATATAAAATACTTTATGAATTTAAGATTAAATTATGACACTAATTTAGCTTGTTGTTACATTACTCTGATTCTTTTTTTATATGATGGAAATCCTATTTGTTTTAATTACTGTGATACTTGATAAAAATTATATTTTAGCAGTATATTTGGATATTGTGTGGTAAAATTTTTAATTCAGCTTTTCAATTTGGAAACAGCCCCAATACTAGAAATGACAGTGCTCCCAGCAGGCATTTGTCAGTGTGTGCTGGAGCAGATAGGGAGATAAGGAGGTGACCGTGTTCACAGTGCATAGACCCAGCAGTTTAAGAGTCTCATGTCTAGGATTACCTCTTTGTGTGTGTCAGCAACAACAATTTCTGTTTAGCTGTTGGGACTCAATTTCAGTGTTTTTTTAGTGTTTTTTAGTGTTTTATTGGGTTTTTTATTTATTTATGCTATATATATATATTTTTTTTTTACATTATGTTAGGCCTGCATTTTTCTTGGATGGTGGCAGCAATGGGAGTTTGTAACTGACAAAAGCACATCTTCAGTGCACCAAAGCGCCACATCCTTATTACCTCTATGGCTGCCTCAGAGATGCTTTTAAGTCAGGCAGAAGTCACTGGCTGTGCCACAACCATATAATTGCAGACTACTTGATGTCCAGAACTGATGCAAACACTTTCAAAGTAAGGGCTCCATGGGCAATTGGGAGTTTAGACTGGACCACTGACTGGAGCTTATACAGTATCAAAATATTATAAAAAATAAAATGTCTGCCCCCCCCCAAAAAAAATAAACAAAAAAAAACCTTAAACCCAAAACACCAATCCTCAACTCTTTGTTTGCATAAAATAAAAAAGTGTAACATTAAGAAAAAAATTATAAAAATACTACCCCCCCCCCAAAAAAAAAGAGTGGGGACTAGCAGCAGCTAAACAGCAACAGATGTTGTTTCTGACACAAAAACAAAAAAGTAGTCCTAAAAGGGAAAAGAGACGGTTGGGTTTAATCAGTGTAAATGAAGTGGGTGGTACATAGTCATGACACAATGCAATTCACAGTAAAGGAGCACTGATACCACTGAACAGAACAATGAATACAGGCGTATACAATTCACTCTCTGTAGCCCACCATGCTAAACAATTCACTTTAATGTAGCAGTTGCAATATGCAGTACTGAACATAGTACTGCATAACTTTCTGCTAGCATACTACTAGCAGTGCACAAACTGTTCCTTCCTCAAAATTGTCAGCTGTCCCTCACTAACTTAAACACACAATGACAAACATGCAAACTAAACCAACTCAGCAATGAATGCAGGCCTCATCCCTATTCAGAGGTACACTCCATACAGGAATTAGATGTTCACATAGCAGACCTTGACAAGTATATAATATATACAGTAGCAATGTTGTTAAAAAAAAGAATGCTACATAATGCTGAGAAACATTAGCATGGGAAAGAAGGAACTTGCTATCTGCATTACAAAGTTTGAGCTCTAAGCAGAATACCAAAACACTCTCATGGGCATGATGTACTCAGAGTAGCAGAGCTTCAAATCAAGAAGCAAAAGTAATATTTGCAATAAAGTTCCATATCAAGTGTCAAACATGTCAGTGGCAATTCATCAGATACCATCACAGCTGAGGCACCACACTAGACTATGAGCTTGGAGAAAATCCCAGGAGAGGCAAATACATAACTATTCCTTGCAATAGGAATCTGAAACTTGACTGAGAAAAATGTAAGACTTAACCCTCCATTTATCCACATACATATTGTGTGATGGAAATAGATATTTTATAAACATATTCAAGCTATACAAAATGGGGAATATGAAGAACAATAATAGAGATTAAGGCAGGGCAGGAGGCTGGATTATCCAAACATTTTTCAGATTACTTTTCCAAGGAATTTCAATGTTTCATTATGTAATGCTGGAAGTGGGATGCATACCTGGAGACCCACCTTTGTGTGGCTACACCTAAGGAGATTATTTATCTTTAACCTAGTGGGACGACATTCCGGTACACAGGGCCGGCACTGAACGAGGATATTTGTATCCCACTTCCAGCATTACATAACTAGCCGGAACCATAAAGGAAACTATTGTTCATTAGCAACATTATTTGTTTGGTATACATTGATTCTAACATCCCATGGAGGGGTCTATTGACTTTAGTAGCTAATCCAATTTTCATTGATACATTGTCTCCATAACTGGGGTACTTGCAATACATTATTTTCATACATTACATATAGTGCAACACCGGTTTATATGTTTACACTTACCCGCTGGTCCGTGAATGTCTGTTTGTAGCGATTGTGTTATTGGTTGTTAACCAATATTAATTGGGTTTCTGGTGGTGGTCTGTTGGTCTGTGTTCATATTTTAAACTATACCAAATAAAATGTATATTTTTGTACTACAGTAGGCACTCCGACCCTCACTTAACTGTCTTTGATCTGATCTCCTTTAGATTATTTCACTCTCTGTTCTAATGTTTTGCATACAGTAGTGGGTTGTTGAAAGCCACAAAATACTGTGACTATCACACCCAACAGGGGTTAATCTAAATTGGGTCTGGTCTCTGGTTATAATTTTCTTTTTCTAGGTGAAGTAAACAATCTAGCACAAAATAGTAAAGTGAGCTGAATTGGAGAATTTTTCCAAATCAGCTATTTTGGCATACTGTATATTGTTCACTTCTCCTATCTTCTCCAAACTATTCACCCTTCAGTGAATAACCATTCAAGTACCTATTTTTGTTGCAATCAGTGATCTTGAAGTCAAGTACTCCATCCCAAAAAATGAATCACTATAAAACTAAAGTCAAACATCTCCCCCCAATACTAATTCACTGATTTTGAAAGAGACACACCATAATGAAAGGCTACTGTATATTCTACACCACATGAAATGTGCTTTTAAATAACTTTAGTTTCTTATTAACCCATGTATACTTACCTTAGTTGCATTCCCTCTCTGCTCCTTTTATGGATAACGCCGCTGTTAGGTGACACAGGCTTCCCCAAGGTGTGGGGGTCTAAGTGACAACTTGGTCTTCACCAAAGCAACCCAGTAAGGAGTTAGGGGGTCGGAGAACATAGTTGCCCCGGGCTACTTTGCGGCAAACCAACACCAGATGACAGCCCTCTGGTTTGCCCCACCAAGGGGTTGTAGTAGCAGGGTGACTATGATAAGGAGACAGGGTAGGAAGAGAGAATAAGGTTGGTGTCCATACAGAGGTTGAGGCAGGCAACAGTAAAAAGAGTCCTCAGTGTCAGGCATGGACTGAGGAAAGCGGCAAGCAAAATAATAGTAACTATCAAGCACAGGTCGAGGCAGGTAAAAGTCAGAAGAGAAGTCAGAGTCCAGGCAGAGGTCGAGACAGGCAGCAGGCAAGAGGATAACTGGAACAGGATAAAACACATAGAGAGCATCCCGCACCTAAAAAGTGTGCCGGCCGGAAAAAAAGGTTACTTCAGACCGTGTAAAGCTTCTCTTTTCATTGATAGCCGAGTGTGACACAAAAATAAATTCACAAGGTACTGTGGCATTGTGAGGAAGTGACGGTAGAGAGACTTGTACCGGGGTGACCTTGACTGACTTTAGGGAGACCGTCATGGACAAAGTATTTGGAGACTGCACAGAAATTACCTGCAAGGAGACTGATGACTGTACAGAGGTGGTCAATGTAGAGACATGGGGGTCTCGTAGCATAGAGGTAACTGGTAGCTTTGTAGAGGGAAAGACTGGAGTGACTTTGTTTAAAGTAAGGGACTGTCGCTGCTGGAAGCAGCGGAAAAAGGTGGAACATATCCAGACGGACTGTTTGGGCACGTGTGTCCGCTCCTCTGGATCGGAACAAAGGGGGGGAATATGTGGCATTGTCACGGTGTTAGGTGGCCTCAAAGTCACCCAGGGTTCTCAGCCAGAGGGGCTGAGTGGCTCCAGGAAGACATTACTGGTACCAGGAGAGAACTGCCTTTTCAGTTCTTTCTGGGTTTTCTGGATCAAGGTTGGGATCCTGGAGCCAGGAGATTTCTTAGAGCTCTGGGTGGGAAGAAGTCTCCATTCCTGGGTCCATGCTTTGGTGGTGACCAGCACCTGATTGTGCACCTGTGTACATCCCTCATGAAGAGTGTGCTGGGATGTGTTCAGGCCCCCACCTGTGAGTCAGGAGAGCTCCACCCTGGAGTCAGTGGAGGCCAGTGCAGCAGGGAGCTGCGGGGTTTGCGAACCATATTGAGAGGATTGGCATGTTATTGCCGTTGTCTGGAGGAACCAGACAGTGGCCCTAAAGATTGAGGCCGGAGCAGCAGTGCTGGAAGAGAGACAGATGTCGGTGAGCCCTTATCTGTTATATGCTACAGCAAGCTATTTATGTTGGATTTCATGTTATCTACCGTTTTGAAAGCAAATAAACTGCATCTGACTTGCACCTCCGGTCTACAGTGGAGTGTCCTTGTTACAGTACTAACTGGCTTTTCCTTCAAAATAACATGTCCATGATTTCCATGTATTACGAACTCAAGACATGGTAGCCGTATGTGTCATCACTGTATCATTCCTACGAGCTCCCGGGTGGCCACATGTAACCCCGACAGGTACACAACGTTAACGCGTTTCACCCCTCCTCCTGGGACTTTGTCAGAACCCACAGTATCTACAATGTATCTCTGTGTTAAATCTTCACTTCATTGGGATTGTCAGTTTGAGTAACGATCCACTAACTCCTTCAATGCAATTTCATCATCTGTTTAGTGGGTGTATTATCTGTATTATCGGGATCACCTTTTCAACAAAGACCTATTTATTGCTAGTTTATAAGTTGTAGTGGTTCTGGTAATTGGATCATATTATCATAACTCAATGTATCTACGTTACCCTCTAAGATGGTCAGTTCTATGGAACTCCACAGTTATGGATGGATGGTGTGAATGATTTGACAGCGTTGTCATTTTTAAAGAGGTTTTGGGATGTGGTGCAATATATGTGCGTGCAATTTTTGTGACATTTTTCTTACATTTTTGTACCTTCTTTACACGGTCTGAAGTAACTTCTTTTCCGGCCGGCACACTTTTTAGGTGCGGGACGCTCTCTATGTGTTTTATCCATATGCTCTGGTTACAGACCTATAATCATTGTGCATACACGATTTACTGATTGTCCTCCGGGGAATAATTTTTTTGTGGTTTAGATAACTGGAACAGGCAGAGTTTGCAACAAGTGCTGGAGACAGGAGCAGAGTCAGGTGATCCAGGTCAGCAACTAGTAATCAGCACAGCAGCCATCTCGATGCACAGGGTAGCTGTGAGAAAAACACAGCACCAGTCACCATAAAGGAAAATGTTTAAATAGTCTCCAAGCCAGTGAGCATGCCCAGCATCAGGTATGCACACTAATGCATGCTAACACGCATGCGTCAATGTGCACTAATGCACATGTGCCCATGTGCTTGTGCTTATGTGCATAAATAATACAATCTCCACAAAATGTATAAAGATGTCAGTTGCATTTTTTACTTAAAATGTAAAGGCATTTTTTTTAGTTATGGATAGAGTGAAGAAGAATCTATGTCAAAATGTTATTGCTGTCTGTGTCCCTGCTGGGGAGATTCACCCATCTATTTGTCCTGATGATCTTTGTCTGAGAGTGTCAGGACGGCATCAGAAGAAGATGTGCGAGTGTGTCACTGTACAGTTCTGTAATATACAGAACCAGGGTCATTGCCATCCAGTTGCATGTGCAGGGCACAGTATGTAGGCATTTGTATGTACAGGAGCATGTCATGCATGTACAATTCCAATCTTGGCACCAGATGGCCTATTTAAGGAACATGGCTGAGTTAGGAAGTTGCTGGATGGTATGTAGCTGTTATGTTGCAACTTGAATCCTGAACCTGTTTCTGATCTGCTTCCCTATTACTGATCCAGCCTGCCTTGCACTTGTCTCTATCTGCCTTTCTGTTATTGACCTTGGCCAGTTCCTGAACACCGCTTGTATCTGCTCATTCCTGGTGTGACCTTGGTTGTTCCTGACTACAGCTTTTTACTACTGACCTTCTAATTTGACCATAGCCAGTTCCTGACTATGTCTCACTTCTGCTAAACATCTGCTGTGAACTTGGCCTGCGTCCTGACCAGCACTCTGCCTGCTATCCAGCCTGCTATCTGTCTCCTCAGCTTGTCCAGACTATGCTTCCAGCCTGCTGTGTGTTCCATTGTCTAGGCTTGACTAGCTGCCTTCTGATCTACCTCTTCCTGTTAACATTCCTGTCAGCCTGCAAAGGTAAGCTCCTGGCATCCATGCCACTCTATGGGGGTGATTTACTAACCTAAACAGACACACACACCAGGTGCGTGTGATTTTCACACAGCAAAACGTATTTATCAACCAAAAAGTCTCTAAAAGCATATTTCCACTAATGCCATATATGGAAAAATCATGCACATGATGCATATATAATGCTGCTTCACAGTTTAGACAAAAATGGTTAGCTCATGCATTTACATTCCAGCATTCATCAATGCAAGCAACACAACATAGAGCTAATTTACACAACATCACCAAGCAATTCATGCTTGGCTTTGCACAACACACCTGCTGGGTGTGTACACACTACAAAGGTGTTTAGATTCCACCCATAGATCATGCTGGGAGGGAACACACTACAGAGGTGTATACATGTTTGTACTTTCTGTTATTGACCTTGGCCAGTTCCTGAACACCGCTTGTATCTGCTCATTCCTGGTGTGACCTTGGTTGTTCCTGACTACAGCTTTTTACTACTGACCTTCTAATTTGACCATAGCCAGTTCCTGACTATGTCTCACTTCTGCTAAACATCTGCTGTGAACTTGGCCTGCGTCCTGACCAGCACTCTGCCTGCTATCCAGCCTGCTATCTGTCTCCTCAGCTTGTCCAGACTATGCTTCCAGCCTGCTGTGTGTTCCATTGTCTAGGCTTGACTAGCTGCCTTCTGATCTACCTCTTCCTGTTAACATTCCTGTCAGCCTGCAAAGGTAAGCTCCTGGCATCCATGCCACTCTATGGGGGTGATTTACTAACCTAAACAGACACACACACCAGGTGCGTGTGATTTTCACACAGCAAAACGTATTTATCAACCAAAAAGTCTCTAAAAGCATATTTCCACTAATGCCATATATGGAAAAATCATGCACATGATGCATATATAATGCTGCTTCACAGTTTAGACAAAAATGGTTAGCTCATGCATTTACATTCCAGCATTCATCAATGCAAGCAACACAACATAGAGCTAATTTACACAACATCACCAAGCAATTCATGCTTGGCTTTGCACAACACACCTGCTGGGTGTGTACACACTACAAAGGTGTTTAGATTCCACCCATAGATCATGCTGGGAGGGAACACACTACAGAGGTGTATACATGTTTGTGGTGTGTTTATAAGGTTAGTAAATCAACCCCTATGTCTTATCACACCCTGAGCTCCACTCCAGGGTTGTCTGGATCAGAGATGTAGATGAAGCCCTCTTGTCATCTTGTCATGTTGTTGTTGTTATGAGCAAGAGGGGAGATGAAATGTTCCAATGGGATCAAATGTATCAGGTACAGCTATCTAAGATGGGAATTTCAATTGCTTTGGATACATTTACTTTCACTTTATGTTGCTTCTCCAAGGCTGGAAATAAATGGAAATCTCCCCAGGGGGACACATACAGGAAAAAATAACCCCGGTTTTAATAATTTCCGAATCTATACACTTTAAATAAGATGTGCACCTTTGAAGATTTGTATTGCTTCAGGAATATTTCTTATGAGGAGTGGGGGGTGTTCTGAATTTAACTAGGACTTCCAAAGTAATTTTGTATTCGAACACTCTTCATCATCTATGACGAAACACTTCTTTTTCTTTAAGAAACTCCTCAAATTATTTATCTGTACTTGATCTTCCCTGTATATCATTTATCATCTATTTTTTATACAGTATTGGTATATTTATACTGTTAACCTATGTCATATTGAGTTTTGTTAATTTATTATTTTCTCTTCAGCCCTTGAATATTTGGACAGACTAGCCAGTCAGCAAATTGAAGATGTACAGCTATATACACGGTACACATTTGAAACAATTATATTTCTAGCTGTGTCCTTGGTGGCAAACTTGATCTTATTTTTAAAGTAACAAATTCAAATGCATCTCTGTTTTGGCACATTCAGCATCTTTTGGATACAGCTCAGTAATATTATGCAAACTAAAACCATACAGTAGTTTCATTAGATGTGCCTGTCTTTCTTAGTTTCCAGTAATTGCCTTATGGCATCCAAAAAAACTTCATGTCTTCTCTGAAAACATTGAAACATTTACACTAATTGCAGTATGATTACAGGTATATATTTTTCTGGGGATGCAGTGTCTTGAAGAATAATGGTTTCTTGTGGACTTGTCGAAAATATAATAGGAACTTTACCACAGAAATAATAAAATGAGTCTTTTGTCTCACAGTCTACACTTGCTGTCATGCCACCAAAAGAACATAACTCGATTAGATGAATCAAGTTTATAAAATAACAAAGAAAATATCTGTGATAATATCATCATAACATTCTGTGAATGGTTATACTCAGCCT